CGTCCATCGCGGCCTCCTCGCTGGTTGCCATCGCGACCTCCTCCGCCTCGGGACTGACCACGGCCGCCACTGCCCTGATGCCGTTCACCTCGGCCTGCATATAACGTCGAGGGAACACCACTCGCTGTCGCTGGTTGACAGGCCAGGAAGTCATCCGAATGGATGAACTGCTGCGCCTGCAAATAATCCGCCAGTTGCGGGATCGTCACCGGCGTACCGGTGACCGCCAGGGAGGCTGCCATAGACCGGAAGTTCGGTCGCAACCCCCAAAAAACATAGAGGTTCTGCTCTGTTAACGTCAGCGGCCGCCCGGTGAGTGCTAGATCCTCGACCAGATGCTGGGCACGCCCGAGATACTCCGGTGTAGAGCTATCTCCCTGTCGAAGCGATTGAAACTGCCCCATGAGGTTGAGGCAGGGAACCTGCGAGGAAGAGCCGAGCGCCGTCTCCCTGTCTGACCGAGCGTGAGATATATCACCTCCTCCGAGATCGATGATATGAGCAAGGATAGGATGGAAGCATCCTGCTCAATCCACGCTTCGTACGCTGGATTTGGGGTGACGGACGCGTCGTCAGATTGCTCGCTGGTTGGGAGTTCGATCACCGGAGATGGACATGGCCGTGAGCCATCAATGAAGCCGAGCAACTGCTGTCCACGTAAAAATGGAATGATTTGTGTTCTCCAGTATAGGTAGTTCCGATGGGTGAGTTTTAGCGACACAAAGTGGTGCGCACTAGGAAGGGAATTTGGGGTGGTGTTTGGGGAGGAGATGGTGGTGGTCGTGAGTGTACGTTCGGAACTCTGAGACATTTTCGAACGAAAAGATCGAACGAGAGGAAGAGAGAGAAACGGGAAAACAATTGTCAGATTCCTACTGGCTAACTGATACCAGATGAGAATGGAAGACATAATTTCATTCAGTTACAGAATTATGATTACATTAATACACTCATAGAGAGAGAGCTATCTAATAGGCTAGAGACTAGATCACTAACAGAATCTTACATAATTAAGTACATATTAATAACATAGTCTAATACTCCCCCTCAAGCACAAGGTAGGTGTGGAACCACATTGAGCTTATCGCGAAGAGCAGTGAACCGAAGATTCAACTGTGTCACCGTGATGCAAAACGGGACTGGACCCCCATGGCAAATTGGGTACGGATTCTCGTGTCCCGGACTGCACGGGACTCCTATTTGCAAAAGGGAATTGACTTTCATCGAAGCGGACATGGCGACAGATGTAAGTTTTCCCGGTGTTTAGGTCCATGCAGCGGTAACCCCTAAAGGACGGTGGGTAACCTAAGAAGACACATGGACTCGACCGATATTCAATTTTATGACGGTTGTACGGATGAAGGTACGGGAAACAAAGACAACCGAATACACGTAAGTATGTGTAGGTGGGTGGAGACTGATATAACCGGTAGTAAGGTGTATCAAACTGGAGTGAGGAGGATGGTAATCGGTTTATAAGATAAGTTGTTGTTTCAAATGCGTGATCCCAATGTCGTTGTGGGACAGACCGGTCTCGACAATATGCCGATGCCGGCGTTCTACACGCCCGTTTTGCTCATGCGTATAGACACATGATTGCCTGTGCACGATTCCTAAGGAGGTAAACAGTTTATGTAACTTTTGGTATCGCCCCCCCCCCCCCCCCCAAATCAGACTGAATAGACTTGATAGAACGTGAAAACGTACGTTCTACCGTCGCCCAAAAAACATCAAATATTTTGTATATATCGGTTTTGAGTCGTAGAGGATAATACCAACAATAGCAGGTACAATCATCTACGAAGAGTACAAAGTAACGTGAGCCATCCGCGGAAAGAACAGGCGCGGGACCCCAAATATCGGTGTAAATAAGGTCTAAAATATTATTGCTAGATTTAGCTACCCTATCTAACGGGAATCGAGAGGATTTCCCGAGTTGACATGATGAACATAAACCGGGGGTTACATTTTTATTGAATTCAACCGGGCATTCCCGTAAGACACATTTAAGGGCTTGTTCGTGAGGATGACCGAGATGCTGATGCCAGACCGTGGAAGAGGCACGAGCAGAGACGAACGCATGATGTGAGTTCGGAACTGACAACGAATACAATCCCCCCGAGCTTGGACCTTTAAGAAGAACCACCTGTGTGGTGGAGTCCTTCACAACAAAAAAACTAGGATGAAATTCAAAATAGCAATTATTATCTTTTGTAAAACGATTTAAAGATAATAAAGAGACCGACAACTCAGGAACATGTAAGACACTAGATAATTTTAATGGTTTAGTGACCGAAGAGATAACTGCATGACCCACACGCGAGATTGCCAAACCTGTGTCATTACCCACTCTCAGAACATCATCACCGTGATATTCTTCGGCTTGCGAGACCATGCCGGAATCCGGTGTAGCGTGCGTGGAAGCGCCCGTGTCCGGCAGCCAAGACGTCACTGCTGGTGTCGCGCCTCCGTCTCCAGCGACTGCCATATGCGTTGATGGTGGCGGCTCGGAGTATCTCCGGTAGCTGAAAGCGGCGGAGTGTCCTTGCGACCTGCAGATCTGATAATGCAGACCGCCACTCCGACCACGTCCATCGCGGCCTCCTCGCTGGTTGCCATCGCGACCTCCTCCGCCTCGGGACTGACCACGGCCGCCACTGCCCTGATGCCGTTCACCTCGGCCTGCATATAACGTCGAGGGAACACCACTCGCTGTCGCTGGTTGACAGGCCAGGAAGTCATCCGAATGGATGAACTGCTGCGCCTGCAAATAATCCGCCAGTTGCGGGATCGTCACCGGCGTACCGGTGACCGCCAGGGAGGCTGCCATAGACCGGAAGTTCGGTCGCAACCCCCAAAAAACATAGAGGTTCTGCTCTGTTAACGTCAGCGGCCGCCCGGTGAGTGCTAGATCCTCGACCAGATGCTGGGCACGCCCGAGATACTCCGGTGTAGAGCTATCTCCCTGTCGAAGCGATTGAAACTGCCCCATGAGGTTGAGGCAGGGAACCTGCGAGGAAGAGCCGAGCGCCGTCTCCCTGTCTGACCGAGCGTGAGATATATCACCTCCTCCGAGATCGATGATATGAGCAAGGATAGGATGGAAGCATCCTGCTCAATCCACGCTTCGTACGCTGGATTTGGGGTGACGGACGCGTCGTCAGATTGCTCGCTGGTTGGGAGTTCGATCACCGGAGATGGACATGGCCGTGAGCCATCAATGAAGCCGAGCAACTGCTGTCCACGTAAAAATGGAATGATTTGTGTTCTCCAGTATAGGTAGTTCCGATGGGTGAGTTTTAGCGACACAAAGTGGTGCGCACTAGGAAGGGAATTTGGGGTGGTGTTTGGGGAGGAGATGGTGGTGGTCGTGAGTGTACGTTCGGAACTCTGAGACATTTTCGAACGAAAAGATCGAACGAGAGGAAGAGAGAGAAACGGGAAAACAATTGTCAGATTCCTACTGGCTAACTGATACCAGATGAGAATGGAAGACATAATTTCATTCAGTTACAGAATTATGATTACATTAATACACTCATAGAGAGAGAGCTATCTAATAGGCTAGAGACTAGATCACTAACAGAATGTTACATAATTAAATACATATTAATAACATAGTCTAATAATATAGATATAGATAGATAGATATAAATTAGTTCATGATATTTATTAAATTGTATTTTTTTAAATATAAAATTTTCTCATGTTTAGGGATTAAAAAATATTTTAAAAATATTTTTTATTAGTAAGTATTTTTATTTGTAAAATATTTTTAAGCAACCCAAACACTCCCTTAGTCTCTAATAAAATCTGCAAAATAAAAGTCATTTTATTAAGAAAATTAAAACTAATTAAAGTAATGTAATCATGCTATATTTATTTATAACTGTATATTAATTTCATTTTGAAATCATTGGTTCACATCTTTGAAATATTTATTTTTTTCTTTAACTATTATAAACAAAAATTATTATATTTATCAAATTGTATTTAAAAAAAAAAATAACATTTACACATGTTTTGAGGGGTTAAAAAATATTTTAAAATTATTTTTTATTACTAAGTGTTTTTATTTTAAAATGTTTTCCAGCAATCTACACACCCCCTTACCCTCCCATAAAAACTGATAAAGAAAAGTCATTTCATTAAGGAAATTGAAACTAATTAAACTAAATCTAATCATGCTATATTTATGTGTAACTGTATTTTAATTTCATTTTGAAATCATTGGTTCACATATTTGAATTAATTATTTTTTTATTTAAGTAATTTATGATATTTATCAAATTGTATTTTTTAAAATATAGTGTTTTACCCATGAATTTTTTTATTTTTTATTTTTTTTGTTATTATGAATTTAAAATTAAAATAGAAAAAATAAAAACATGTTAAAATGTATAATATAATAATATAGTTGGACTTTTATATATTTGGTCAAGTATCTATTTTCATAACATACAAAATTAAAATTAAAATTTTGTATTGTTAATATAATCTCTAATCATGTACATATTTAGATAAACTTATAGCAAAAATTCATATAATTAAGTTGATTTGTTCCAAATTGTATTTCATATATATTATAATGCTAAAACTATGAATATGAATAATAATAATAATAACTAAGAGAACCGTACTTAGAAATCAATAAAAATTAAAATTCTAAATTTTGTATGAATAAATATAAACTCTAACCGGACGCATATCCTTATATGATTGTATAATATATTGTATATACAAATATTGTGGCAATTACTGTTAAGACTTAGTCTAGGCCTGATATATTAATTTTATTATATTTATTTTTATCTTGTGGCTTAGCTTTTATCTTGTGGTTTAGCTTTTACCTGCTCCCTAATTCTTTGCTGTGTAAAGCTTATTTAAAGCTTGTTCCCGTTTAATGCAATTCAAGTGTTCTCCACTCTCACATGGTATCACAACCATCTCTCTAGTGAGTTTTTTTTTTTCTTCCTCCCTTTCTCCTAATCTCATTAGCCATGGCTGCTGCTACCCAACCCACTATCACACACATTTCCGCCCCTACCCACTTCCCAATCAAACTCACTTCCACGAATTTTCTAATTTGGAAGAAACAAATAGAATCTACACTCATAGGTCTTGACCTTGTGGGTTATATCAATGGTTCCACTCCCGCTCCGGCTAAATTCTCTGATCAAATGCAGACTGTGTTGAATCCTGCGTACAAGGCTTGGTTTAGACAAGACCAAACTGTCTTGAGTGCAATCCTAGGCAGTCTCTCAGACACCTTACAACCAGTCATTTCATCCGCGACTTCTGCATGCGACGCCTGGGCACGACTATCCACCAGTTGTGCTGCTGCCTCTCGGGGTCGCATAGTTTCTCTTAAAACGAAGTTAGCGAAGAACCCTAAAGCCAACCGGTCCATTGACTCGTACAAGAGGGATATGCGAGCCATTGCCGACGATTTGGCTCTTGCCCAAAGCCCTGTTACAGAAGAAGATCTTGTGGTTCATATATTCACGCAACTTGGCGATGAATATAACTCCATAGTTGCTGCTCTTCGCGTCAGGACGGAGGCCATCTCATACAGTGAATTGCATGATGTCCTCACTGATTACGAACGAATATTACAGGATAACGAAGCTGCCTCGACTGTTCATATGCCTACTGCGAACGCTACACAACGGCGGTCCTATGGCCCTGCTGACACTCAGTCTTACAATTCCAATCGCCGTGGCAGAGGTGGTTCTGTCTCCTCTAATGGGCGACAAAAACAAGTAAGGAACAATGGCAACCGTACTGCACGATATTGCAACTACTGCGACTATCCCGGGCATGACACTAAATTCTGCCGGAAGCTTGCCAAATTCCTGAAGGAAAATAATGTGACGGTGCTTGAGCCGCAGAACACTGGGCGTCAATCTCCTACCATCCACTCGACGTCTACTACTGCGCAGCCCACTCAACCGTGGCTCATGGACTCGGGCGCCTCACATCACACTGCGAATGACGCCATGGCTCTGCACACGTTAGCTGACTACACAGGGCCTGACGAGATAATCCTTGGTGATGGTAATTCGCTTCGTATTTCACATACTGGGTCGGTTTCGTTACCTTCAAATTCTCGGTCTATTAGTTTGTCAGATGTGTTGTGTGTTCCAAGTTTTCAAAACAATCTAATTTCCGTGTCTAAACTCTGTAAGACTAACTCCGTTTCTGATGAATTTTTTGACACACATTTTGCTGTCAAGGATCGACAGTTGGGAGCTCCTCTCGTGCAGGGTCCGGTCGTGAATGATGTTTACAGTCTTCCTGTTCAGCAGTCTCAAATTAATGTCACTACCATGTCTTCATTGTCAAAGTGGCATCATCAGTTCGGCCACCCAAATTCTAAAGTTTTAGCCTGCATTCTTCGACATAATAATGTAAGCTTTAAGCCTGAACAACTTAAGGAATTTTCGTGTAATTCGTGCCATATCAATAAAAGTCACAAGCTGCCCTTTTCATTTAGTACCATGTCTAGCACCCGGCCGTTGCAATTAATTTACACAGATGTGTGGAGTTCTGCAACGGTTTCGGTCGATGGTTTTAAATACTATATTAATTTTGTTGACCATTACACTTAATATATCTGGTTGTTTCCTTTAAAGTTTAAATCAGATGTTCATGCGGTCTTCCTTCAGTTTAAACGTATGGTTGAAACATATTTTGACTATAAAATTGTTTCGGTCTTTTCTGATAATGGGGGGGGGGGGGGGGGGATATATTGATTTAACTCCTATGTTTAATAGTCTAGGGATTTCTCACTATACATCTCCCCCTCACACTCCAGAACATAATGGTCCCGCTGAACGCAGGCATATGCATATTGTCGAAAGTGGTATGGCGTTACTGCATTATGCGTCCTATGCCTTCCTCCTACTGGTCATTTGCGTTCCAAACGGCTGTGTATTTAATAAATCGCATGCCCACTGCTCTCCTTAATCACTCGTCACCATATGAGAAGTTATTTCACAAATACCCGAACTACCAGAAAATTCGGCCATTGGGGTGCCTTTGCTACCCGTGGCTAAAACCATACTACCCAGCTAAATTGAGTCCCAAGTCTCAGCCATGTGTCTTCTTAGGCTATTCGTTAAGTCAACCTGCTTACAAATGCCTAGAAGTGTCTAGTGGTCGGATATATATTTCGCGTCATGTTATATTTGTGCCAAACGAATTTCCATACACTGTGTTGGTTTGTAAAACCGTCTCCACTCCTGTTCTGTCCAATCACGTTCAGAGTTTGCCAGTATGGGGATTGCGTCGGACCTACCATCAACTTCCGCACCACCACTGAATCAGCAAACGACTGTTCTGGAGGAGTCAGTTGCTGCCTTGGAGGTCCCGGTGGCTGCCACGTCTGTCAGTCCAAAACCGCCTCACCGGCCAGAATCTCCGTTGCCAACCTCGGAGTCCACCTTACCAGCTGTGTCCATCGGGGGTATCGCTCCAACTAGTTCTGGTCAGGCGCCCACTGGATCAGAATTCCCGCCGGTCGGCTCTAACTTTCTGCCGGTTGACGCTATTCCACAACAACAGCTGTCTCGTCAGGTGGGTGAGTCAGCGTCGGCAGCAGGTTCTGTAGCATCTATAGGGTCTGTGCATGCTGAATCGGTGGTTACTGAGCATCCTGCCGCGGTTTCTACGGAGCAGGTGGTTGCTCCTTTGCGGAGGTCTAACCGACAAAGACGACCGAATGCTATGTATTTTAATGATAAATTTGTAAACTTGACGACATCCCATCCCGTTGCTTTGTCCATTGAGCCACGCACCGTGGTGGAAGCGTTGAAAAATGACTTATGGCGGGATGCGATGTCAGATGAATTTAGTGCTCTGGTGAAGAACTCCACTTGGGAGTTAGTGCCCCGGGCTAATCATAGTTTGGTTGGCTGTAAATGGGTGTTCAGGGTCAAGCGGAAGCCTAATGGCTCTGTGGACAGGTTTAAAGACCGGCTGGTTGCCAAAGGCTTTCTCCAGGAACCAGGTCGGGACTACTTTGAGACCTTCAGTCCGGTGGAAAAACCAGTTCCCGTTCGGGTTATTCTCAGTATTGCTCTGTCACGAGGCTGGTCATTGCGTCAGTTGGACGTAAACAATGCCTTTTTGAATGGCACGTTGCATGAAGAAGTTTATTTGGCACAGCCGACGGGTTTTGTTGACAAGGAGAAACCTGATCATGTCTGTAGGTTGAGGAATGCGATATATGGTTTGAAGCAAGCCCCGCGTGCTTGGTACATTGAACTATCTAATTTTCTTGTTTCAGTTGGTTTTAAGAAGTCTGTGGCTGATACTTCTTTGTTCATTTATTGTACGTGTAATATCATGGTATACTTCCTGGTGTATGTCGATGACATAATCATTATAGGCAATAATGATACCTATATCGCGGCCTTTGTTCGTCGGCTTTCGGAAAGGTTTTCACTTAAGGACTTGGGTCCCTTGCATCATTTCTTAGGAGTTGAAGTCGTGTCTACTTCGACTGGCTTGTTTATGTCGCAGAGTCAATATGTGGTTGATATTTTGGACCAGTTTGCAATGACGGGGGCGAAGCCGGTCACTACTCCGATGTGTGCTTTTGATAATTTCTGCGCAGATGACTCGGCTGTTGACTCGACGACTTATCGGCGGGCTATTGGTCGTTTGCAATACCTGGCGATCACTAGACCGGATATTTCGTTTGCGGTAAACCGCTTAGCGCAGTTTATGGCGTCCCCTATTGAGAGCCATTAGCAAGCTGTCAAGCGGATATTACGCTATCTGAAAGGTACACTGCATTTGGTCTTCTTTTTCGGCGTGGGTGTCCACTATCGCTTGTGGCCTTTTCAGACTCTGATTGGGGTGGTGTTCGTGACGGGGGGCGTTATACCACAGCCTAATGCAATTCAAGTGTTCTTCACTCTCACAATTACTATAATGTCATTAATTATATTAATTATAACATTTGTTCTCTTTTAATATTTAAATACATTACCATAAAATTACAATATAATTACACAAAAGAATGAAAGAAAAATTATGAGAATAATTACCTTTAATAAAAATTAGGAAATTATATTAAAAAATAATCTATTTTTTTTGAATAGATAATAATTACACCGAAAAAGGCACAAATATATACGGAAGAAATCTTATTGCTATAGGATTAACATTGTTTATGGTAAAAAGGCACAAACATAGTACAGAACAAATTAGGTAGAATTTTATGGTAAAAATGCACAAATAAAATTAGTACCGAAAAAGGCACAAATATATATGGAACAAATTACTATGTTAATAATTACGGAAGAAATCTTATTGCTATCAAATTGTCACAAATATATAAGGAAGAAATCTTATTGTCACAAATAGTAATTTTATTACCTAATAGAATTTGTCAATTATTAAACATTGTTTATTGTAATTATTGTATGACATTTAATACTAAAATTATTATGTAGAATTTTTATAATTAAGGTATAATATTATTAAATCAAATTTATTAAAAAACATAATGTGTCCACAATATAAAATAAATTATACTTGTCATAATAATAATTATTTATTAATATAAATATACAATTATAAATTTGTATAAGAAAAATACAGAAACTTCTGGTTAAAAAAAATCTCTCCATTTCCTTTTTCTCTTTCCTTAGCATCACATTCCCAATTCTCTCTAGAAAAAGGCAAAGTAGGATTAGAAAAGGCCTTCATCTAAACCGTCCTCACCCCTCAATTCGATTTAGCTTTTGTTTGATTGCTGTTTTGCCCAGCGAACCACATAAACCCATAACACTACTTGTTGAAGTAGAGCCTCTTTAAGTATCTTCAAGCTCATACCAGACGATATAAACTGCAAAACATATTGAAGTACGGGGGAATATAGTTAGAAAAAGGTAGAAAATTCATACGAAAAGAAAGCAGAGAGATAAGTCTGAGATTCTTTGATTGATGAGACAACGAAACGGCAAGGTACCTCTAGTATTTATTTCTCAGAATTGAAATGATGGTTTAGTACTTTGATCAACAGATCAGAACATCTCTTAATGGATGTTTGTAAATGAGAGATTCCTCAGGTTCAGGTGGACGAACCATAGGGGGCCTAAGTGGTCTATTATAACAAAAACAAATCTTATCAAGATGGTCACAATAGCAAGAACTTAAAGGATCGGGAGCTTCACAATCCTTATTTGTCTTGCATGGCAAATCATTATTCTTCTTTGTTTCACCACCACTCCAAATACTTGCAATCATTATATCAACTCACAATATTAGTGTTTTCACTCATCTAATAAGCATATATGTTTTCTCTTATATTTTTAATGTAGACTCTTAGAGTATATCATTGTGAAGTTGAAGATCTGATTTTACCAGAGAAATTAATTTAATGTCGGTATATAATATACCATAGTAAAATATTTTATGGGTGAAAGCTATAAAAAATGAATGGACTTACATGAAGCAGCCACCAATAGAAGGAATAGACTTGAAAAGAGTTTGGACCCAATGAAGAAGATGATATTGGTCTAAAGAGATTGATAGTGATGATAATATATATATATATATATATATATATATATATATATATATATATATATATATATTGGTTAATATTTTGACTGAATTGGTAAAAAAGATATACTTTTGGTAACAACTTAATTGGAGGAATTAATTTGGATAATATTTCGCAAGCTGGATCACCTTAATGATGCATTTCTTTCTAAACTTGGCTGGAGACTGATCCGCAATGATAACAGCCTATGGGCGCATATAATGAAGGCTAAATATTCTACTGATCCCAGTGAACCAGCGTCATGGAGACCAATGCCAAGGATGTCAGCAGCGCTTCCCAATTATCTCTAAAGGATTAAAAAAGTGCGCAAGGAATGGCAAAAGCACTCAGTTCTGGCAGGAGTGGTGGGTTGGCACGCAACCCTTAAAGGATATGACTATCAATCAAATTCCACCCCAAGACATTCATGCAAAAGTATCTGACTACTGGATGCAACACATTGGGTACGGTGGAACTAGCAGAAACTTGAAGGTGGACTCAATCAAGAGGCAATTAGGTGGCTGGCAGCGTTTACCATCCAAGATGATCCTAATGTAGAGGATGTTGGCTGGGGAAGGGACGCTATGAACATGTTCTCAGTTAAAGAAGCGTATAACCTGGCTGCTGGTTCATCAAGCATACCTACGACTAGCATATGGAACTTAAATTTCCAAATCGCATATGTTCACTTTTGTGGTTAGTCAAACATGACAAACAAGAATAGGGCAAGAAGAGGTTTCACAGTTGACGACAAGTGTGGGGTGTGCGAGGACAGTATTGAAGGCATAAACCACATATTTCGTGAATGCCCCAAAGCCAAACAAGTATGGAGGAACCTGTTCCACAACGATATTACTTCCAGCTCTGACCAGACTTTTAACTATTGGTTCGACAACGGCATAAGAGGATCAATGGGAGGAAACCAACACCTAAGCTTTGGAGTCAAATTCGCGATTACCCTTTGGAACCTCTGGAAGTGGAGGAATGAGAGAGTCTTTAATAACCATACAAGACCACTAATTGAAAGAGTAAGCTTTTTCCAGAGCCATGACA